ATTGAGTCTGTGATTTAGAGGCATCACCTGACCAGTCCCCATGAAACTGAGAGACAGGACTGGAAAATAAGAATAGCAACAGCACGGGGTTGGCCCGTGGTCGAGTGGTGACGTTCCTGTGCTCCACTTTGGTGGCCCAGCGTTTTGCGGTTTGGATCCTGGGCATGGACATGGCACCATTCATCAGGCCTTGCTGAGGTGGCATCCCACGTAGCAGAGCCAGAAGGACGTACAACTAGAATGTACAACTGTGTACCGGGGGGGCTTTGGGGAGAAGAAACAAAGAAGAACAGTAGCAGACATTCACATCACACATAGCTTGGAATCGCCCCCACAAGGCCATGTGCTAATTCCTTTCCACTGTCTGCTCTTGCAGCTGTAGGTACCACCAAACCCATGTTACAAACAAGACTACTTAAACTTAGAAGGAATTGGATTGTTGATTTGGTGTTCTCACATCCCCAGCCCTGCAGGAACAGGAGCGGAAATGCCCGTTCTACTCTCTCCTTCTTGCCACACGTCAGTCCTATTCCTCTGATGCTCAATGCAGAGAGGGGAACTGCTTCCTCTCTCTTCCTTGGTGGGCCCACCTGATGTGAACTTGAGACAGTTTCTTCTCCGTATGCACCCTCCTACTCCCAATTTAACATTTTTAAAAGGCTGTCAGGGAGGTGAAACGTGTGTCCCAGCAGCTTCAGCCCAGCCTCTGACAATAGTCGCATTCAACAGTTCCGCAGCCAGCGGCAGGTCTGTTTGAGCCTTGTCTCCTGCACGCCGCGCTCCTCCTCGTCAATTTCAGGCCTGCCTCCACTCTTAACTCGGTGGTCCCCAGGCCATTTTTGAATAGGTGAGATTTCTCAGTCAATAAAGTCAAGGCAGTTTTCTTCCCCAGCACCTCCTCAGCTCCCCCCCCCCCCCCCCCCCCCCCCCCCCCCCACCCCCCCACCCCTCCAAAGAAAGTGGAGTGAGGGCTAGGACAGGGGAGAGGCCGCATTGCTAGCCGCCGGGGTCTACATTTTGTATTTCGTTGACAGCCCAGGGCCGCTCCAAAGCCCGCCGCGCAGCCAATGGGCAGCGGTGATTTATGGAGCTGACTAATGCCGGCTGAATGCGGCCTGTCAGAGCGCTGTGAATGGCTTCCCTTCGCCGCACAAGCCCCGGCTTTGTGTTGCTAAGCGATTAGAGCAGATGTAATGAGATTTTGCCCAATCTTCGCTTTGCCCTTTCCTAGCTTCGGCAAATTTGTGTGTTTTTGTGAATTTTTAGAGTTTGCCTTCGCGTTGTGGCAAACAACGGCTAACTTTGCCTGGAGTTTAAGGAGACTGGATATTTCCCATTAGGAAGTGAGTGAAAGAACACCTGTCTTTACAAGGAGAAGGGGAAAAAAAATCCCCTTTGTGGGGGCTGAAACATTATCCTAATGTTATATTCATAGACAAAAATGACTGGCTACACTTTCTTTGCGTACCTTATCTGGAAACTTGCAAAGGAGCTAAATTAAAAGAAAAAGAAATGGGGAGAGGGAGAGAGCCCAGCTCTGGTCCTCCAAATAAGAAGATAAAAATAAAAGCAGGCACCACAAAAGCGTCGCTCCCCTCAAGTAAGCTCTAAATTGGCCCACTGCTGGCAGAAAGTCCGATTATTTATGGCGATGAAGAATTTACTGATTTTTTTTCCCCCTTAATTACGCTCATCTCTTTGAAAGGGACTGAAGCCTCAATGTGCATTCTATAGAGGGTCATTTAGCAAAATGACATCAGACGCTGTGGCGTGCTCCGCGCATCGCGGCTTTAAAAAATGATTATTCTGTGCCACTAAATGGTATAGATGTACCAACACAGACTAGATTTTTAACTCTGGAAGACGTGCTGGCTCCCCGTCCTTTGTTGGGTTTTGTAAGATGCATTTTGCGCTCGGCTTTCCGCTTGGCTGGAGACACGCAAACTGAATCTGCAAGTAATCCAGGCGGCGAGCGAGGAGCCGGGGAGAGGCGGAGTAGGATTCTGATCACGTCCTTGCTAACTGACAAGAAGCGAGCCAGCCAAAAACCCACCAATTTCTTTTTGAATCTTGGTAATTGGGGACTTTTACACGCGGCTCACGCTATTCGGATGGAGTCACAAGCTTACATAGGCCAGTGTCTCAAAGCGACCACACATTTCTAAGGCTTTTATTTATTTAAATCTAAGTGCTTCTGCGGGGAACTCATATCATATGCCACCTTTACTTATAATCGATATGGGAAGTGTGTGTAGTGGGGAAAAGGAGTAGAAAATGTGTGCCTGGAAGTGAAGGAAGAGAGACACACCCACCACTGTGAGCATGGAGGAGAGGGTACCTCCCTCATGCTCAAGGTCCAGCAGCACCATCCCTCCACCCACCCCTGGGGTCCTGGCTCATCCAGCCCTTCCACAGTTTCACAGGGAGAAACTGAAAGTGAGGGTGAGGGTTAGAAAGCAGGGTGGGGAGCTCCTCTTTCCAGTTAATTTTGGGGGGGAGTTTTAAACTTATAGTCATTTTATCAAAAGATGATGCAGCCATTAATCACCACCTATTCTCTAGGTAGATGTGTAAATTCACAGCATAAAAGGGCAAGAAACCCGGCTTTAATGAGATATATATATATGTCTTGTTCCTCTACATTCGTTATAGAGTCATCTCTAGTAGGACTGGTCATAGCACTTATCTTCGTCATTTCTGCCACTCTTTTGCACCATCCTCATCTTCGCCGCCCCCTTCCCTTTGGCATTTCCATAATAACTTAGACATAAGCAGTGAAATCAAAGAACAGTGAGAGGCAGCTGATTATTTTCATTTGTAAAAAAAAAGAAAAAAGTTTTATTATGAAACTAGTTTGTATAAAACAGGGTTATACACGTTTTTTGTAAGTTTGTAATAAAACAGTAAGAAAAAAAAAAAGGCAGTGATAGAAATTTCCCCAAAGGCAAAACCAACTGGCTGCCACTTTGCGTTTGGACAGTAGCTGCATAAACTTTGTTCTTCTTGAACAGTATTTAATAACATCATTAATACATTAACAAAGTTTCTATAAAGTAAGACACATTGGTGCTGAAGTACATCTGGTGGCCTTTTGATCTCCCCTATGAGGAGAGTTCTTTACAAAACCACATAGGGAAAAATGGCAGTTGCGAGGTGAACTACACATCTAAAATAGCAGAGGTAACGCATTACATGTTAAAGTATCAAGATATACACATTTTAAACCATTTGTACAAAACTCTATAAATTTTTTCTCTCTTTCTCTCTTATGTACAAAAATATCTTAATATATCCCCAAACTGGTTAGGATAGATACAAATAGATTTTTCTTATAATAAAAAAATTCACAAAAGATTGGAAGCATTCTATGATGAAAACTGTAGAAAAGATGGTGTGAGGGAGTGGGGCTTGGGGAGGGCGCCCCGGAGGATCGGGGTTTCAAAGGACTGAGGATAGCATCATTTCACTGCAGACAAATGTCTACAGCTTATTGGGATGGGAGATACTGAGAGTAAGGACACAACCCATTTCTAGAGGGCTAAGAACTGGGCTTTCAGAGAGGGCGGAGGTGAACCTCCCAGCAAGCGCTTTCAGTTCTGCCTGTTAGTGGTGGGTGGGAGTTTCTATAGGGCATGTGCTGCTCCCTTCTGCCAGGAGCCCACTGCTTTTGCACCCAAGCTGCATTTTGTGCAACGACTCAGGTCCTAGTCACTCTTCATATCTCGTGAATGATTGGAGTGTAAAGATACTGTTCCGAGCGCATCGCTGTTCTCTAAGAGCCTTGCTTCTCAGACGTGCGTCCCTTAGTTGGCGTTGGGGTTGGGTGCCTGGGGGTTCCCCCCTCCTTTTTCTCTTCTTCTTTTTTTACTTTTCTCTCCCTTCCAACATCGCTGACGAGAAAGCACTAAAGATGCAGGCTGTGCGGTCGCCCTATAACATAAGAAGAACGGGAGAGGTTAGCGTGAACTTGGAGGCTGGTGGTGGGGAAAAATGGAGGTTTGGGAGAGGATCTGTCAGGTATGGTGCCTCTTTTGACAGGTTCTAGTACTCGGTTCTTCAGCATCTCCCCACCTCACCCCTACCCTCCAGTTCTTGGATATCTAGGCAAAGCCGCTCTCAGCTGAAACTAACAAATCAGGATTTGAAATAGACAAACTGTAACAAATCCTTTAAAGCAACACTCCCCCCCCCATCTCCGTGGAGACAGTCCCCCTCCTACAGACACTAAGACGGAGGAAAAAAGCTGAAGACAAGAAAATACACCCTGTTCACTCTAAAAGGCAACTTACCTGCTTCCAAAGTCCATTCGTACCGGGGCCTGAGCAGGCCGAGCCCCTCAGAACCAGTTGGTGAAGTCGAGCAGCTCTTGCTCCTCCGGGCTGAGGGGGTCGTAAGAGCCCTCGTCCGAGGAGTAGGATGAGACCGGCGAGCCGGCCATGGAGTTCATGTCGTTGGAGTAGTTGGGGGAGATGGTGGGCGACAGGACGCCAGCCTGGAAGGCAGCGCTCACCGCGTCGTGCTCGTCCAGCAGCTGCTGCAGCGCGCGGATGTACTCGACCGCGGAGCGCAGCGTCTCCACCTTGCTCATCTTCTTGTTGGCCGCGCCGTTGGGGACGTGCTCCCGAAGGGTGGCAAAGCCCAGGTTGACCAGCTTGACGCGGTTGCGCTCGCGCTCGTTGCGGCGCGCCACGGCCGCCGGCTGTTGCTGCGGCAGGCTGTAGCCGAAGCCGCTGAAGTTCAGCCGGCGTTTGCAGCGCATCAGTTCGGGCGAGGACGAGCGCTGTCGCTTGACTTGCTTGGGCGCTGACTTGTGACCGCCCCCTGAGGGCTGGCCGTCGGCCGCCGGGCTCAGCTGCGGCGCCTGCTGCTGCTGCTGCTGCGCGCTCTGCGCTGCTGCCGCCGCGGCCGCTGCCGCCGCGGCTGCGGCAGTGGCAAAGAAGCAGGCTGCGGGCGGCAGGAAGGGCTGCTGGGGCTGCGGCTGGGGCTGCTGGCCGGCGCCGCCGCTCTCCATCTTGGCAGAGCTCTCCATGCGAAGCGGCGGCCAAGGAGTCGCGGAATCGGAGCGAGCCGGGACGCGAGGTGCGGGGCGCACGAGGGAGACACAGACAGGACTTGGATGCACGAACAGAGAGGGAAAGAAGGGGACAGATGAAGAAGGAGCCCGGAGGGAAGTTAAACAAAATACAAAATCCCCGGGAGACTTCTTAGGGTGGGAGCAAAGAAGGTGCAAATGCTTTTCCTCCTCCCTCCCCTCCTCCTCCTCCCTCCCCTCCTCCCTTCGCGGGTTGGCTGCGGGAGCCTCGCGTGGCGCTCGCGTGTGAGGCTGCCGCTAGCGCCTTCTTGTTTAAAAAAAAAAAAAAAAGGCAGAAGAAGCAAAAGTCAGCGGCGAGCGCGCTCTGTTGAGTCTCCCGCTCCTCTCCCCCTAGGGCTGCGCTCTCTTGCGCCGGGTCTCGGTCTCTCCAGCCGTAGCTCAAGCTGTTTTTATTATTTTGTTAACACCCTTTTCTTTCTTATTTCCTTCTTTCACTCGCCCTCCCTGGCCAGCTCCCTGTCGGTGCGCCTTCCACGTTCCCTGGCCAGAAGTGAGAGAGTGCTGGGCGGCCGGAGTGCGGCTGCCTTTTCAATGGGACACCCAGCCCCACGCGCAGCCCTGGCCCCGCCTCGCCCCCCACTCCCCGCTGCTGCAGCAAGCGGCTGCAGCCCCCACTCCCCCCTCCTCTTACCTCCTCCTCCCACCCACTCCCCAACTCCCCCTCCTCCCCTTGCCTCCCCCCGCCCATTCCCTGCTCCCGCTCCTTGCAAACTCTCCATTCAGCCGGGTTTGTTGTTGCAGTGCGTGCGCCTGGCGCGTGCCGGACTCCAGGCTGAATAAACAGGCGGCGCGCTCGGGGCGGGCTGCAGCCGGGGGTGGCTCTAGACAGGGGGGGCCGGCGTCACAAGAGGGACAAATGGCTCTGGAAATTGGGGTGTATGGGTGCAAAGGTTTAGGGTGAAGTGCCCCAGGATTTTCCTGAGAACTTAGAGCAAAGCACGGGAAAGGGTTTGGGCAGATAAAGTGGCACGGGGCAATCTTGAGGTTGGGGGGAGCGGGGCTCCATTTTTTCTGTTTCCTTCTCCCCGTTCTCTTGGGAATCTTTACTGTCTTTGGGAGCTGAAGCAAATTTGCTATTGAAATTCAGAAAGACGAGGGGAACTCCGTCAGAAGTACTGGACTGTTCATGTAAAAGTACTCTTAAGACCTGAGTTCCACTCCCATTGCGTCCTCTCACTAGCTCTGTAGTCCTTGGTAAGTGGCATCCTCTCTGAGCCTCAGTTTCCTTGTCTGTAGCAACAGAAAGTTGGATTAGATGGTCTCTAATGTCCCATCCAGGTCTAAAAATTAGGATGTGCTCCCCACAAGGAGCAAGTGTGGAAGGGGTCGAGGCGAAGGGAGGTGATCACGCAAAGCGGTGTTTGTGATCAGTGCTATAGGTAGGTGTGCATGTCCGGGATGCCCCGCGGAATGACCTCGGGCTGCCTGAAGCATCGCCCCCCCCCCCCCCCCCTCACAGGATTATTTCCAGACCAGCTGGGGTGGATGCAGAAAGAAGGGAGCTCTCTAGGATATTCCAGGGTTGGGTCTGAGAAGAAAGATGTGGGGCGGGGCGGGGGGAGGGTGATGGAGCTTTGGGGACTGGAGGAGCTTTTCTGGTTGTTCAGAGCGCCGCCTTAAGCACCTCGGAGGCCTTGGCGCAGCCTCCATCCCGCCCCAGGCGTGTGCCCGGCGGGCTGGTGGCAGGCGACTGGGAGCCGAGCCCGGTGGGGCCGCGTGCTGGCGCCGCGCGGGAGGGGGAGGCGCTTGCAGCCGTCGCTTGCCCGCTTGGACAGCGCCTGCCCAGGCGTCCTTCCTGGGCCCTCGGCCCTGGCGCTCTCTGGCCGGAGCCGGGTCCAGCTTCAGGGCGCCTTGGGACACGGCGCTTCGCGGAAAGCGGGCGCAGCAACGGGTCACATCTCTGTCCTGCTCTGGTGCAGGCACGGAGAGGAGGCTGGGGCACGTCTCAGGTCGCGTCTACATAGGCAGAAGGAAGCAAAGGGTAATCATCCGGTTGATTTGTCCAGGAGAAATAGGCAGTTTTGATCAGAGACCTGGGCGAAGGGATGGTTGTAGTGAATTAACGGGATAATTGCTTCTCATTGAACTTCCTTTTGTGGAGATGGGTCTGTCTAAAGGATCCATGGAAGTGACGCAGGGAACCCCCCTTGGTATGTGTGTCTGGCTATGAGTATTGTCGGAGCAATAGTGGTGGTGATGGGTAGTAAGGACAGGTAGCTCCCGAGGTGAATCACCTCTCTTCTCTGCCTCAGTTTCCTCTTTTAAAACGAGGGAGTTTGGGAAGCATAGTACTGACTCAGGCCAAAAGAGATCAGCTCTGTAAACCTCCCTCCCCACACAGACACCTGTCACCCACCCCCCCAACCTGGGACTCGCTGACCCCACAAGACTTTGCAGGATTTACACCTCTGCCCTCTGCTCCCACCTCCCACTCCAGGAAAGGAGCTGAGAGGTCTCCACGATCACATTTGTCTCCTCTTTCAGGAAGTGTAAGAGACGATGAGGCCTGAAGCAAAGCCACAGCACCGGTTTTCCACCCCGAGGAAGCCTCCACGACTGGCGAAAGAGCGGTTATTCAGGCACTTCCGGCCATCCACGTGCTGCAGCTGTGAGCTCTGGGTGCAGGCCGCTAGGAGGCGCCTAGGCAAAGCCTCCTTGTGGCCCATCCACTCCTCTCTCTCAAAATAGTGTGTGTGTGTTGGGGGGGGGGGGGGGGGTGTCGCCAACAGAGACACGTCTAACTGCGTTTTCTTTCCCATTGGGTTGAAGCATGCACCCTGAGCTCCTTTCCAAGTCAGACTCTAATCATTCCACACTTAAAAGGTCCGCAGTCCTGGCTCTACCACTATTTTACGTTGTAACCTAGAACAAGTTCCTCTTCCTCCAACGCCCTCAGTTTCCTGATCTGTGCAGGAGGGGCTACATCAGCTAATTTCGAAACGTACCTAGGAGCGCGCAAAATTTGCAGATAGCCAGCACATGTTCTCAGTTTCCTTTTCACATGCAGGTTTCACGCGTGCACAGAGATCCTAATTATCAGGGACTTCAAGGCCAGAGCCCACTCCCAACCACGCAGACACACACACACACGCAGACACACACACAGAGCCTACTCCCAACCACACACACGAAATGGGCGCCCAAATGGAAGCGCCAACTATGAAAACGCGCATTGTAGTGGCCCTACGTGTTGGCCTCCGCCCAGGAGAAAAGACAGCTCGGGCGCTGGGATCCTTCCGGCCAAAGCCACCGGAACATTTGTCCCTATTCTGCCCGCTCCAGTCCCGAGCCAAAATTCCGTCCTCACTCTCCCCACTCCCGCATCCTCAGCCTGCTTCCTTACATGCTTTGCAAAGCTTTCCAAGAACCCAGGCGTTCTCTTCCTCCCACTGGAGTAAATACAAAGAATGCTCCCCATCACGCTCCCAGCCCAGCACTGTCTCCACTTTCTCCTCCACCACTAAGGTAGAGAGGTTTAGAATCTTTCCCCGAGTTTGCACCTCTGCCTTTCGGGATTGCACCCTACAGACGGGAGTTCTTCACTGAAATTGACTTTCAGGTCTTTTTATTTTTTTTTTACTTTTTTTAAAATTTTTACCAGTTTGGAGCAAAGGACCAAGGCTCAAGAGCCAATCAGAATTCTGCCTCAGATCCTGTGACCTCAATTATGACTCCCCTCCCCCAACACGCACACCTGAGAGAGGGGCCACTGGCTCGCTTAGGCCAGGGGACTCCAAATCTTGCACTGGAGGGATAAAGCAGATAAACTTGATTTGGTACCCAGGTTCTGTTATTTAACAGCGATGTGACTTTGAGCAAACAGCCTACACTCTGAGTCTAGCTTTCTTCCTCCCTACCATGTCCATAGTTATAGCATCTACCTCCAAGACTTGAGAGATTTCAACGAGATGTATATGAAGCACTCCAGATCTGGAGTCTGGGAAGGGTCTGGGAAGGGATGAATAAGAATAGCTGTTCTAAAGCCATTCTGCTGTTTACACAGCCCATCCAGGATGGGGTTTTGGGAAGAGGATGCTTGACATCTTGGAACCACACTGTGATCATTACTACAGCCATTGGAGATCCCATGCTATCCTGTCCTACTGGCCCAGCACCTAAGAGTGGGTAATTCCTGTCATTTTTGAGGAATAGTGATGATGCTCCCAAATCAAGATGGTGGAGATAGGAGCCAAATTTTTAACATTGACAGTAGTAAGTGAGATCACACACAGACCCACTTCACGGCCGGCACATGGAGGGGGCTTCAGCAGAGCCACCGGCCCTGACCTCCCTTGCCACCCACTAGGCCTGACTCTGGGCAAGTCCCCAGGCTTTACTTCACCAGGACACTCAAGGTCCCATTTATCTCGATGTGGAGGGAAAAGAAAACAGCTCACAAAAGGAGTGTTTGATACCTTCATCCATAAATGAAGAGGTGGCACTCCCTTGGCTTATCTGTCAAGGCTGTCAGGATAATTAAATCTGATGTTCTTTGTGAATTCACTTTGCAAATCCCTCCACACGTATCAGGGATTGCCATTCTTATGAGGGGGAGGCAGGACACTGACCCCCTTTGGTGTGTCCTACCCAGAATATAGACATCTCAGAAAAATGGGAAGGTTTCTCTTTCTCCTGCAGTACAATAAGGGCCTTAGTTTCTGCACCTTCAGCTGCCTCTTCTATGTGAGGGAATCCTGGAGGTGGACCACTCCTTATCTTGAACCTTCTCCACATTCAGCACCAGGATCTACATGGGGAGATGGCTTCCCTAGTGACATAGGAATCTGCTACCCAGTGAACCTGAGGCCCTGGGGCCCTGAGTCTCCTGCCACCTTAATTTCCACTCAAAGTTCAAGGCCAGGCCAATGCCAGCTTTGCTTGCACAGAATCCTCAAGCTCCAGAATTGTGCCCCTTCTCTTCTTGGAAAGGAGATACTCCTCATCTCTTTTTAAAAAGCCCCCTCTGTGCTTTTTCTTGGAGGGGAGGAGAGTTAATCTTAAAAGTGAAACTAGGTTTTCCATTGAATGGATCATTTCATAAAATTATACTTATACTGGATCCCACATAAGAAGCAAAGAGATTACCAGAGAACACAGGCCTTGATTCTTGATTTGGACACAAGAGTGTTAGCGCAATCCTTGATTTTATTGAGCACCAAGCCCCAGAAGCCATGGATACTTTGAGAAAAGTGGGTGTGCAGGGCATTCATAGAAGATCCTCGGTTTCCAGTGCTATAACACAGGGCCTCTGTGCCTGGTGTATGCGGCTCTAAGCCTGTGCTTGACACTGTCCTCCCCAGGGAAATGAAAAGTCCACAATTGCATAATCTACAGTCTCCAAGCACACCCTCCCAAGGTAACTTCAGAAGCCGCTGCTGCCCACTCTGAACTGGGTCGGGCCTGGGATGGACTGTTCAGTGGGCAGAATAGCACAAACCACTGACTTGGCTCGGCTTCTTGGTCAGAGCGGCCGGGCCCGCACCTGCATCAAGGAATCCAGGCTTCTAACAAATCTATTTGCTCTTTCAATACGCCTTAAAAAGAAAAGAAAAAAAGCTGGAAAAACAAAACAAAAAAAGCACAAACTATTATTTTACTGTGGGAGGGGAGATGGGGATGGGGGGAGGGGGTAATTTGCAGCCACCCTGGCCAGCCAGTCCTTTTGAAGTTCTCCAAATAAGGAGTAACGCTAAGTCTTTATTTTTTCTAAAGCCCCATTTACATTATGATTAAATACCTTCCTCGGATAAGGATAAAGAAAGTCGTTAATCTATATAGCTCTGCAAAGAATCAATACATTCTAAACTTTTGTAGGATTTGTTACACTCTATTTTGTTACAGTAGCCCAGCTTCTCTCCGTCTAGGCACATGGCTCTCCTTCCCTCCCCCTTCCCCACCTCGCCCAAGAATGAAAATAAAGTAAAGGTCTTTCACGGTAAACAAAACCAGCTGATTCTTCACAGAGAACCCATGAATAGCTGGAGAAGAAAAAAAAACTTACAATAAATGGTGCATTTTTTTCTCTGCTGGGTATAGTATTCAAGGATCAGGGCAGTATTCAAACAGAGGTCCATTTTTTGCTCAGCAAGAGAGTTTAGAAAGGAAGCGTGGGGTCCATTCAGAGCTTTTCCCCCTTCACAATCGCAGGGTTCTATGAAACCTATCTTCCATGCCTTGTCGGAGTGTTTCTGGGGACCAATTAGTGCTTTGTTGCACGGCTTCTTTGCTGAATCTTTGAGCAGCAAGAAAAAGCGCTCTCGAGTCTCCCCTTATTTTGACCATTTCTGTCATTACTCAGTGTAATAATTAATATGACAACTGGACGCTCGAGTTTGTATAGAAACACCTCAGCTACAGGAGCGAGCGTGCAGTGGGTGGTAACCAGCCGCACATCAGCCGGAGAAGCCACACACACAAAAAGGAATGAATGGCCGCAGAGAAAGAGAAGGAATAAAGATAAAATAGTTGGCACAACGCAGAACATAAAACAGACTCGAATGGAGACAGGGCGGGGGAAAGGGGGACAATTAGAAGGGGAGGGGGAAAAACACCCTACAGAGGTTAACTTATTTTGAAACTGTTTTCTGAATAGAACCGTGGACGTGAGCGGCCGCTTTTCAGCCCAGCGCGTTTCCCCCCAACTTTCTGAACTCTCTGGAACACAAGGGGCGGGCAGGAGCGTGGGGAGAGAAAGAAGGCTCGCCCAATCTTTAGGTTCTCCCCAGGATCCTTCGGGAATGTGCACCCAACACACCACCCAGCTCAAGTTCCCCACTCCTGGTTTGGCTTTCATCTTCGCAGAAATATTGTTCCCCTTTGCTCCAACTTCAGTCTTTGGAGCTAGCAAGAGACAAGAACCGGCGGAAGTAGTAGAGGAGAGAAACAAGCGCCGCACCACCCTCCTTGGGGTGAATCTTGTGGAGAGGGCATTTCTGATACATCCCAGCAATTCTGAAGAGCAGCGCCCTGCGGGGCTCCTGGCGTGGAGGGTCTCTCCCCGGGAGCGTCGTCCAGCCAGACTGGGCGCCGCGCCCCAGCCCCGCGCGGGGCCGCCTCTGCCGCTCCCGCAAGTGCGCCCCGGGGTTTCGACCCGCTCCGTGACGGCATAATAAATAATTAGAGGGTTTAAGCGCGTTAGCCACAGCTCATGCTAATGAGCCAGATAAGGGCTCACGCTAACCCAAGGTGACAGTTTGCATATAGGAGGGAAGAAAAAGAGTCCTGCTATTTTTCCCCAACTTGATTGCTCCTTCTCAAATTCATGCGTCCCCTGTCCCCTTCCTCCATTCCCTTCTTCTCCTCTCCCTTATCTCCTGCCACACGCACAACACACACACTCCACCCTCTTTTGACCCTTCCTCGGTCTTTCACCCCCACACCGGCCGCATCGTGACGTCACAAAATCCCCGGGTGCCTAAATCTGACCTGCCGGGAAAGTTCACTCCCAGCGCGTCCCGTCCAGTCTCAGCCCTCGAGTGGAGACGGTTCGTATGCCTTTCTTTACACAGTGTGGAACGCACCAAGACTCCCATCCTCGGGGAAGGAAGTTAAAGCTCAGGATCGGGGGTCCCTGAGCGCTTCGGGGGGCCAGCGCGCCCTTAGGTGCTCTCTGCGCTCTGCAGGGTGAGGGGAGCTACCGGCTGGGGCGAGGAGCGCAGGCGTCCGGAGCCCTGGAGCTCCTGAAATGGTCCTGCCGCCTCCCAAAAGCAGGGGCACTTTGCCGAAGTGACTGAGGTCAGTCGTGTGTCCCCATTGTGTGGCCACGTGTCCTGTGTCCATCATCACCTCGCCAAAGTCCGAGCTCAGCCCGACTCCTTGCGGCGCGGCCCGGGAACGCTCCGGCCTATAAATCAGGCAGGCGGCTGCGAGCCGTTTCCCTCTCTGTGCAGACCTGGATGTTGGCCCTGCGGGCCCAGGGCAAGTTTTGCTCCCAAGAAGTTAGGAAGGAAGCAGCCTGCCAGGGCAAGGTGTCCACCTGGGAAACTGTGCACCTGCTCCAGGTCGGCCAGTTAACGCTTCCCTCCCTCCCACCACTCTTCCTCAGGACTAGTATTTGCACCACCAGCAGGGTACTTTCTTTCTTTCTTTTTTTTTTTGGTGAGGAAGATTGGCCCTGAGCTAACTTCTGTGCCAACCTTCCTCTATTTTGTACATGGGACACCTCCGCAGTATGGCTTGATGAGCAGTGTCTGTGTCCAGGCCCAGGATCCCAACCCGAGAACCCTGACCGCTGAAGCAGAGTGTGTGAACCTAACCGCTATGCAACCCTGCTGGCTTGGGTACTTTTTTGGGGAGGAGGAAGGAGAGGAACAAGGTGATTTATAAGACACAGATATTCGTTGACATGGAAACTTAAAGAAACAGCAACAAAAACAAAATTAAATGAGTTCGTATTTGTAAAAGGCTGAGAACAATGCCTGGCACACAGTGAACGCATTTAACAGGCGTTACTAAATAAGTGCAAGCATATTGAAATACCTAACAGAAGGTATGCGCTATTCATCTAAGATGTTCGAAAATACCATTTTGATGTCAAATGATCAAGGTTGATATGTTCATTGGTTCATGAAATAACTATTGAACATAATTGTAGATAAAGAAGACAATCATTGCCTTGGATGAGCTTGTAGTTTAGCCGACAGAAAAGGCGGTGTATAAGAGAAGAAGGTGCATTAAACACACAGTGGGGGCAACAATGGAGAGCCCGCTTCCCTCAGGCTCCATTCCTCTTTGGACTCCCACCCTCCTCCAAATAGTCCACCAGGTTACCCC